CAGAACACGGAGCGGTGTCAGCCCCGACACGGCGGCGAGGGGAACGGCTGAGGACACGGTTGACAGCACAGGAAGGCTCGTCGCCAGAGGCATGGCCAGCAGCAGAAAGAGGCCTAGAATGCCCAGAGGGTGTGTCGTCAGATCCTGGCGGCATATTGAATCCCGTCGCCCCAGTTACAGAACTCGAATCAGCGGCAACATCTGAAAGAAACTGACGTTCAAACCCAAAGACGACCGTATCGCCAGAACGAACAAGGATGCAGTTTTCTTTCCCAGCAGGGGTAAGTGAGGCCGCCGCGAGCACAAAGCCATTGGGCAGACGGTGGATCCCGGCAAAGCGCGCCAAATACCCAACAGAGACCTCAGCACAAGGCAACCAGACCATAGTAGGTTCCTGTCCAACCTGCCGGGGGTCAAGGAACACAAAGAATCCGTAGCCGCCGTCACGAGCAGGGAGGCGAGAGTCAAGAACGCCCACTGCTCCACAGCAATCAGTGCCCCGCCAGCAAACATCCTTCAGTGCATCGTTCTGAGGGCGGGCACAAGCAAACCCCGAGACATCACGACCGAACAAAACCCGCACATCAGCTGGGATAGGCCAGTCCGTATCCGCCACGCCCCAGTTCAAGCATGCGTGTCCCCCCCCAAGAAGGAGAGAAGGAAGCAGCGGGGGCGGGTCGGGCAGGGAAGCGGCAGACCAGGCCCCGGCATCCTGCAGGCGAGCTTCCAGGTTATGGTGCCAGAGAGGCGGGTCCCCGGGTCGCACAAACTGAACTACCCACCCTTGATGGAACTCAGAAGGGGGGCCATCAGCAAGGGGCTCAGAAGAACCCGCAACGTAAACCGCAAAGTCAGTGTACCCGCACCGACGCGCTTCAAGAGACAGATCATAAAGACAGGCCATGAAGCAAATATGTTTGGCATAAGCTGGGCCGCCCAGGCGCCGGAAGTCAAAAATCACAACGCAGGTGCCGTGTTCACGCAACCAGGGACCCCCAAGAACAAGCGAGGCGTAGTCAGCAGCAAGCTGAGGGACAGTGGGCGAAACCACTGTAGCATACTCAAGCTGCAGCACGGCCAGGGCTTGCTGGGCCTCGGATATGGCTTCCAAACACGTAACATCTGGAACCCGCAAAGCCACCGCCACAAACTCATCGCGGTACATGGGGCAGAGCACCTGAAAGAGGCAACGCCGGGGCATGGAGCGACCTTCTTGACCATCAGCAGCGGGGCCTACTGGGCTATCACTCGCATC